TCTGGGCAGCTGTCCCCTTCACCCATCGCGCGGTATCCCCTCGCCTTGTACCTCCGGTGGCTGTAGCAGATCATTGTCAGGATGGTGGCCAGCCCCGCCAGGACTGCTACGGTGATGCCAGCCACCTTCCCCCCCGTCAGCCTCCGGCCCCTCACCATCTCCGCCACATGCTGGATCTCTTCTGGCTGGGCCAGCCGCCACACATGGCTCTGCCCATCCCTGACCCAGGTGCTGTCCCCATCCCCGCTGCTCACCAGCACAGTGTCGATGGCTGGCAGGTTGGTGGGGGGCCGAGTGAAAAAAAACAGCGAGCCCCCTGTGAAGATGCCAGCCTGGATGCAGTACTCCACCTGGCAGCTATCACTGATGAGGGCCAAGTGTTGGCTGAAGCCTGCGGGGCAGCTCTTGGCATGGGGGTCCTCGGCGGTGCCCTGGTGCCGCCCTGCCAAGGGGTTCCCTGCCTGGCAGCTGAAGAAGCCCCCGAAGGGCACTGCATACTGGCCACCCACCTCATAATCCTGGCTCACGCACACCCTGAGTTCATCGAAGAGCTTCAGCGGGAAGTACCCTGAGGGGCAGGACTGGGCACCGGTGATGGAGTTGGCGCTGTGGGCGCTGAACAGCCCCCCAAAGAGGTATCCCGAGCTTGGGGCCACCGGCCCACTCGTAGCGCACCAGTAGGCGCTGAATTGCACCCGGGAGAGCCAGAAGACGTCCCGGCACTCGCGGTGGCAGAAGATGCCCAGGATGCACTTGTTGTGGCACTCCAGATGGCTGTGGCCTTCCTCCCGCTCCTGTACGCCCAGCAGCACCGGAGTGTAGGTGGTGGGGCAGGAGAAAGCCCCAGTGAGGGGGTTCCTCTGCTCCAGCTCCTGGCACAGCATGCTGGTGTCGGGGCCGGCGAGCCCATCACACTCCTGGAAGGCTCCCCCGAAGGTGAAGTTGGTCATGGCACCCTCACAGGAGCCATCATCAGCATTGGCATGGAAGTTGAAGTTGGGTGAGGTGGCGTCGGTGCAGCCTGGGTAGGTGTTGAAGGTGTAGTAGCGGCGGATAGCCATCTCCACTCGCCTGGCCAGCTTCTTCACTGTGGGGGTGGGCAGCTCTGGCAGGGTGCTGGGGTTGATGAAGAAGTACAGGGGTAGCCCGGAGCGGTCGAGAGCCACCAAATGGTTTCTAATCCCCTCTTGCCAGGTCTTGAGGGTGATGCCTGGGTAAAAAGGGGTCCCGCCGATGCTCTCTACCCTGGAGTTGGTGCGGTTTTCCAGATACTGCTTGGTGAAGCCAGAGCTAACATCCAGGGACTCCTCGTTTTTCACATTGATGATGCTGTGGAAGGCCACGCCGGCTGAGGCAGTGACAGCACTCCGTGTGGCCCAGCTGTCCTTCAGGAAGGTTGCCTTGATCTGATCCTCCTGCACCAAGCTGGCTCCAGCGTCCACTGAGGTGATAGTGTGGGTGCCATAGTTAAGCACCAGCACCTCGGCCAGAAAATCAGCCATCCGCGTCTGGTTGTTCTCCAGGTGGCTGGCGATCATCATCAGCTGCTTCTTGAAGCCCTTATCCAGGACTGCCCCTGGGTTGATCTTGGCAGTGTAAAGCAGGTTCCTGACTTGCACTCGGGTGGTGACAGCACAGTCTTTCACTTGGTGGGTCTTGGTCCGGTGGAAGTCGTAGGAGAACTTGCCATTGATGGAGGAGAAAAGGGACAGCTCCAGGTTGATGGAGGCAGAGGTGATGCTTTGGTAATCTTTCCATGACTCGATGATCTCAGAGTTGATGTCCAGGTTGCTCTGCTTGCGAGGGATAGTGAAGATCTCATCCGGTATGATATAAGATCCATCTTCTGTGGTCTTGCACAGTGAATAGCCCAGGTTGATGACTCTGCCCATATCCAAATTCCTGAGGTTATCCCAGCCTCCCCCCGGCAGGACTTCCAGACTTGGGAGCTTCAGGGCCTTCCTGCACTCTGGAAACCCTGAAGTGGAGGACAGCTCCTGGAACTGCTCAGCCCCTCTCACCCAAGCCACTGACATCCAGGCGAGCAGCACCCCCCACAGCACCCAGCCCATGGCTGAACCGGCGCAGGGCCCTCACCAGACGTCCAAGCAGTGAGGCAGGAGCTGGGGAAATGAGCTGGCTGGGGGTGCAGCTGCTGGGTAGTTCCTTCTTTTGGGGGTTGAATTAACAAAAGGGAAAGGAGAAGTGAGAACTGATGAATGTAAGAAATGACTGAGTGGAGCTGAGACAAGTGAGTGGGGAGCAGAAAGTAGAGGTGCCTGGAGCTCATTGCCTCCGTGTTGTGAAAGCTCCCTCTCCCCATGAAAGCTGCTCTGCTGGGGATGGGGCAGGGAGAAATCTTGCCTTCTGCTCTCAAATGTGCCCAGGGAATTTCACTGTGTGAATCTCCCTTGGCCGGTGCTTGGGTGACTCCCCCAGATGAATCTCCTCTGCCCCTGGGTGACCCTGGCTCCTTCATGCCATGCAAGGGACCTGTCCCCAGCCCCACGGCCTTGGGGTCCCACTCACATGACAGGGTGAGACCTGGCCCTGGTCGCATGGGTGTTGCTGCTGACTCCAAGGCTTTCCTCTGCGGCAGAGGTCAGGAGAGGAAGCGGGGAGGTGGTGCAGTGTGGTTTCAGCGTGGGGGACAGTGCAATGCTTGTCTCCCTTCTCTCTTGGGGAAGAGGCTGCCCGAGACCCTGGGGCAGGCACTGGTGGGTTTGGAGGTTCCTCCCATGGGGGCCAGCCCATGGCACAGGTGTGTCCCCCGATACCAACACCTACATTAGGGCCCTCTGCAGCCTCCTCTACCCCACCCCTGTGCTTCCCCCAGGGTCCGCAGTGCCCCCAGCTAGGAAAAGCACCTCCTGCTCGGGATTGCTGCACCGCAGGAAGCTGGTCCCTCTGGTACCGAGCTGGCTCTGCCCAGGGGTGCTGGCGCGTGGCTGGGCCCCGGGTTCAGTGGCACAGGGCAGCCGCTGCGTGTTTTGGGGAATAAACAGTTAAAGCAGCTTCTGCTGTGAAAGCTGTGACTATTTCCATATGGACAGGCTCACTTCCCCTATTTTTGCTGGTTAGTTCCTCTTCCCAGGACCATTCTGGCACGGGACAAGGCTGAAGCGAGAGCTGTGATGGAGCAGGGGGGACCGTAGAGGTGTATGTGCTTTTGCCAGGATAACGCTGGGAGTGGGGGGGAAAGGACGACAGGAACATCGTTGGGGATGGCCTTGCTGGCCCCAGTGAGGGGCTACCCCGGAATAGCTGGAAAACCCTGGTGTGGGGAGCCCCTTGCTGGAGGCTCCCACACCAACCTGGAGCCATCTGCATTGCAGACCAGGCTGTGAGGTCATCTCATCTGAAAAGCCATGGGTTTCACTGCCACCCAACTTCGAAGCCTAAGCAGTGGCCCCCGGCAGAGAGCCGCGGCCAGTGATGGCTGTGGCCCCTGGGATATGAGGAGGGAGAGAAGCCCCGTGGGGCAGACAGGAGTTGCCTTGTCTGTCCACCATGCAGGAGCAGCTCCCAAACAGAAACCAGGGCTTCCCCGTGCTGCGTCTGCTGCCGTGAGCCATCCTGTCTCGTGGTGACCAAGATGTGGCAGAGCAAGGCAAAACCCGTCCGCCGCACCCAGCTGGGGGATTAAAAAAACATAAATTTCCTTCCTAACCACCACAGGGAATGAGCAGATGCTGAAGCGGGAGAGCAAGCCATGCCCACCAGTTGGTGAGTGCTGGGAGGGGAGGCAGAACCCTGGGCAGGGCTGCTGCCACAATACAGAGGGCAAGGGAGGATGGCCACCAGCGGAGCTGCAGGTGCTGGAGCAGGAGGGGGAAATGCAGTTTGGACCTCCCCCTGAAAAAAAGCCGTTAAATGCCTGGAGCCAGAGCGAAGGGTGGGACGGGCTGCTCGTGGCAAGCCACAGCACTGATGCAACCCAAATCGGCAGGGCCTGGGATGGATGGAGGCAATGGAAAACCTTTTTGGTGCTGCTTCTGGGCTGTTGGGTGCCAGGTCTGACTTCTGGCCCCATTGCTGGGTCTGGTGGAGACCCTTGGCCCAAGCACATGCCAGGCTCATACATCATCATCATGCCGGGGCTTCCTGTGGGCTGGGATTCCCTGCAGTGGTGCGTCGTATAGCCTCGTCCTGCCGCTTGTTCCTGGCACTGGGAAATTGAGAATAAATTAGGCTGGGAAGGCAGCGCAGTTCAGTTCTCTGGCTGTAAAAAGCGGGTGGCCTTAGAAAAATGCCCAAGGGCTACTAATAAATATATTAGTTTGCAGCAAAGTTCCTGGTGGGAAGAATTAGAGGTTGTTACTCAGTAAACAGAAAACCCATGGATTGTAACCACTGAGCAATATGAGCCCGAGTGCTTGCGGGGATCACCTGAGACTGATGTTAAACCGGAAAAGCATGAGGTATCCTACAGCCACCAGGGCTTGTGTCAGCCAGTGGCTGGGTGCTGGCTTTGGTTGCTGGCTTGGATTGCTGCTCAGCACCAAAGCATGGAAATCGCTTAGGATTGATGAAAAACTGTGTATATATCATGTCAATAAATAAGTAGACAGAAAGAGCACCTATATATACACACCCACACATATAGATATTTAAGCTTTTCTTGGCTATGCAGAAACCTGAAAGGGGAGGGGATACTCTTACAAGAAACAACCCTTTTGTCCTCATTGATGTTTTATTTTTAGGCAAAGCTTGGAGAATCTTGTCACAATGAGAAGCGGAGAAATGTGAGTTCAAAAGCTGTCAAAATGAACCCGTGGGGTTTTTCAGTTTTGTTCTCTTTTTCGGCTGTAACTATTAGGAGTTGGTAAAGGAGGTGGCCCGATTTGTGGCTTTCTGTGGAGAAAGCAATTTTGTGAGCTCTGTGCCCAGCACGTGTGCTGGTAAATGAAGAAGACGAAGTGGGAACTTGGGCCATGCAGATGCAGGTATGACTTGAGTGGTTGTAAGCGTGGTCCTGGCTGCTTGTTTTATTTAATGTCTCTGCATTAAGTCGGTGATTTGATCCAGTGTTGACACCTATCTCCTAGAGATAGGGCAGCTAATTATCCCCTTTGTGAGGACATTTCTGAGGGAGTCTAATTGCAGATGAGTGCCACCATTTAATGGGCCCTATAACATCCCCATTCCACAGCAATCTCTGTGTGCCAGCTCTGGGGGAGGGTGGGATAATGTGGCTGCTGGAGGCACTTGTTGCAGGTGAGAAGCACAGATACCTCCAGCTCTTTTGGAGAATATTTCTTTAAAAGGTGTTGACTGTGACTGTTCCTACAGCTTTGCTTACTTGGCTTTACAGGGGCTTTCCCAGCTTTGGAGAAGAAGGAAAGAGAAACCAGGCAGGAATCACTGGGTGACTCTGCCACCCACAAGGCCAGGCTTGCTCAGCGCCTGAACCCTGTTATTATGGGTGTGTAATCAATATTGGATAATTCTGTCCAGGGCATTTCACTTTTCTTCATGTTGATCAAAAACTGTATTTTTCTCAGTGAAGTAGTCACCAGCATTATTTCTGGTGGCATATAACATACGCTTTTTCTCTGTGAGTGTTTTTTGAGCACAGAGAAGTAGCTATAAAGTCATGAAGATCTCAGGAAGGATAACTTCAAATTGTTTCTCTGTATAATAGTCATCTAGCTCCAGAGTGGGTGGAATGGCACCATTTTCTCTAAGCTCACTTGCTTTATTGAAAGGGAGCACTAAATGAGCTTATTCGGTGTAAACTGACTTTTAGACTTATTTTAAAGTTGTTGAGGGCTGGAGGGCATTAACAGGCTTTAATTTCCCTGAGCAGCCTCACCTGGCCCCGCACCCATGGCCACAGGAGTTCCAGTTGTGCTCAGCCCTGAACTCGCTCTCTCTGAGCTATGTTGTAGCTGTGCTGGTCTGCAGCCCTGTGTCCTGGATGGATGCCTTGGACCTGTGCTGTAGGCAGCTCCTCTCCTGGATGGACCACTTGGATGTATGTTGTAGCTTACCCCAAGCGCCATGCTCCTGATGGACCCTGGACCTGGTTCATCACTTGCTGTGGCTGGGGCTGTCGATGGACCCAGTTACCAGCCCTGGCTCTGCCTGTTGTGCTCCGGTCCCAAGGGACTGCACCCTACCAGTGAGGGTACTGCGTGTGCTGGGATGCCTCCTGGCCATCCCCATTCTTTGGGGAGCCGCTGGTCTTTGCTGCTCCCTGATGGAAGCCACCAAAACAGTCTGTATTTTCTTTTGTATCTCGATTAATGATGATACATTAACAACAGAGCTGGAGCTGAGCCTTAGCCCACCCAGAGAGCCTGAGTGATGTCTCTGTGACCCTTCACAGAGGAGCCCCTGGCAGGGGCACCCTGTCCTGCCCAAGCTCAAATCTTGCACTTGGGGAAAATCAAATGTTGCAATGGGCACAGACAGAAATGCAGGACACTGTCTGAACGTCGGGAAACCGTTTACTACTGTGAGGGTGACCGAGTACTGGCACAGGCTACCCAGGGAGCTTGTGGAGTCTCCCTCCTTGGAGATATTCAAAAGCCACCTGGACATGGTCCTGGGCTCCAGGTGGCCCAGCTTGAGCAGGGAGGGCTAGATCAGGTTGTTCCTTGCCAATCTCAGCCAGTCTGTGATTCTGGGACTGGGATCCCTGACCTGCTCACGGGGATGGGAAGCTGCCAGTGCGCGGCAGCAGGATGCCCAAAGCTCTGGGGCCCCTGCTCTGGGTGGCTGCACTGCTGGGCTGGTACCCATAGCAGGGGTGAGTGCTGGTGTGATGCAGGGCTGTGACACCACTGAGGTGTCCCTACTTGCAGACCTCGCAGCATGGTTGTTATAAAACACATGCCACCATCCCACACCTCCCTGTGTGGCTGTGTTGGACTCTGCACGATGAGCAATGGCAGCTTTCTCCTCAGCCTCTGCATCCTGCTCCTGCCTGCTGGGCCATTCTGCTTGCCACTGGCCATCATCAACAGGTACGGGGCTGCTCAGGGCCACGGGGGCCGCTCGGGGGGCCACTCGGGGTGGGGGCTGGCCCCAGGTGGGTCACTGGGCCACACTCTTGTGCTCACAGGAT